AAACTATATTTACATACCTTTGGTACTCACCTTATGAAGTTTAGAACTCCATAAGTGATTACCTTATTACACGCTTTCCTATTTTCAAGCTATCTAATATTTTTCTGAATACAAGTGGTGTAACCAGATTACAAAAGATTTCTCTCAGATATGTTTAAGAGATCAGCTATTTCGAGATATCTTCCTCCTTCCTTCATGCCCCTTTTTATAGGAGATTTTGGAATCTTATCTTAGACAGGTGTTTTCCACCTTTCTTTGTTGGGTAGTTAGGCCATCTTATCTCCACCGAATTCTTCATTGTCTTCTTGTTGGGTGGACCTCTTCTTTTGAAATTAGATGCATTATCTTTTGAGTTTGTCTGCCACTTGTAACTATTGATGGGAAGTAGTCACAATTATAGAGACTTTTCTTGTATTATCTTCTGTCTTCTAGTAGCCACAGTTTTCTTTAATAAATTTCTTTATTAAAGTAGTGATAAAGGGCTACTTTAGTCACCATCACTTTTCCATTTTTGAATCAAAGAATTCTACAGGGAATTCTTCATCGTTAAGGGATGCTTGACTCGTATTTTCAACTACACAGTATTCACAATGATGATCACTGTAATTCCAAAGTAATTTGCATAATTCTTTAGCCATATCCTCTGATCCGTGCACTTGGTTGGATATAATTGCAGATAATAAATGATCGAGATAACAAATATCTTTTTCTTTGGTATCCATCATTGCATTGGAATAAATAATATGATCTTCGGATGGATAAACCCATATTTTTTCTTTCTCAGTAATTATCTGAGTTACATGTTCAAATATCTCTTTATATCCTTTTGCTCGTCTGTAGGGCATCATATTTAGAATATATTGATATCCATTTTTAACAACATTTTGATTGGTTGGTAAAAAATGTTGATTTGTGATTCCCATTTTGATCACATGGAAAGATGGATGCATATATTCAAGAATAGGATCCCACTCCATGGTTGCTGAATGGAATCTGATATATATATTTGTTGTTTTAACAACTTCAGTATATCTTTTAACAGCTTTCCTGATGTTGGCTGGAAGTTGAGCTATCTCTTTGAGATCTTTGCTAGGATATATACAGAGTATATTTCCTATCTCAAAGCAATTTCGAACCCAATTGGCTGGTGCTCCTGGATAAAAATTTATCTTGTTGTATTTTGAATAGTGGAGAGTCTTCATCCACTTTCCGATTTCCAGATACCAATCTGATAAAATATTGAAGATAACAATAAAGAGTGTTACTTCTTCATGGTTATTTTTGCTGGGAATTTTTGATTCATGGCATATTTTGACAATATCTTTCGGATCTATCCTTTCAATAGAAAGTTTAGATTGAGTTTGGCTCTGTGAAGGGCTACCTTGTCTTTTGATATCTTGAATATTTTTTTTACCAGTAATAGGTTTGAGTATTCCCTGTGAAGGAGTTCCTATTACCTTCTTTTATTTCCCTTTATTCTCGGGGAGAGCGATAGTATTCACAAGTCCCTGCGAAGGGATACTAGTCTTGGTACAAGTAACTTCTGCTTCAAGGGCTATATTTTTGCCTCGAAGGCTATCTTGGATATTTTGAATTTGGGTTTCCAAATAGGAAACTTTTATCTCAAGTATTTGGACTTTCGTCCTTAGATGTTCTAGCTCCATCCCTGCTAAGATAATCAGGAAGAAAATTAACTTTTCCTTTAATATATTCAATATCAAATTCGAAGTATGAGAACCAAATTTGTATTCTAATAATATATCTATTGGCAATAGATGGATCAACATTATTTTTCAAAAATGCTTTAACTTGAGTATTGTCAGTTCTAATCAAGAACTTCTTTGATAGTAAATAATCTTCATATTTTTGAACTCCTCTTTTTACAGCAATGAGTTCTTTTCTGTTCGTCTCATATCTTGTTTCAACTTCTTTGAATGTTCCTGATGTATAACCTGCAAGTATTTCGGGGCAAGAACAATCTTTTCATATTTATATTTTTTATGATTCTTTTTAACCTTTAACACTGCTCCCCAGTAATAATCTGAAGCATCAGTTTCCAGGATAAAGAAATCTTCTTCTTGTGGTATTACAAGTTTGGGGAACACCTTTAGTTCTTCTTTAACTTTCCTTATATTTTCAGAATCTTGTTTTTCCTAAGACCACATTATATTTTTTCTTAACTTTGGAAGAAAATAATTTTTTAATTTGGCACAATTTTCAGTAAATCCTTCAGCATAATTTAATATACCAAGGAAACTTTGTAATTGTTTTTTATCTTTGATTTCTTCAGGACCATTCGTATTGTCCTAAAGGATTGGGGGTACTAAATGCAGTTAATGGTTTACTTTCTTCTGTAAGCATTATTTGCCAAAACCCTGACTTACAATCAAATTTTGAAAATATCTTTTTGTTCTGTACTTGTTTAATAAGGGTGTCCTTATTTGGCAAGTAGTATCCATCAAACTTAGTAACTTAATTTAATTTCTTGTAATTTATCACCATTCTGGCTTTTCCTCTTTTTATCTCACTATGTTTTCTAACCATAAAGGCTGGGCTGCTATGTGGATTTTTACTAGGCCTAATCAGTCTGGCTTCTAGCAATTCTTTTATCTGATTTTTAAATTCTTTTTGATCATCAACACTATATTTCATGGGTTTGACTCTTACTATAGTATCTAGATTAATTAATTCTATCTTTACCTTTACTTTGTCTGTATTCCATTTTTCTAATGGATTTTCAGAATATGTTTCAGAAATTTCTTTTTTCAATTTTTCCAACCTATTTTCTGTTGTCATTTTTAAAACTGTAATTGGTTTAAATTTTTCTGTACTTCAACATCCACCACGTTGGGTTGAGGAACTCTGATGTTTTATATCTTTATATGCAATTGTAACAGCTTTATTTATTTTTGGTGTAAATATTTTATGTGCACAAGGTGTTGTGAACATATACTTATCAATATATTGTGTAAATGATGCATATTTTAATAGAAAATTTTGTCCTAATAAAATATCACATCCTATTGTGGTTGACATATATATTGTATCAACAAATACTTCTCTAAAGGAAATTAGAAAAGGTACTTGCGTAGCATACTTGCTGTATATTACCTTATTTCCACCTGCTGTTGTAGCAGTTACTATCTTCTTTGAATTGTATTTCCAATATTCAGATGGTAGTACATTTGGTAAACATAAACTTATTGTACTTCCTGTATCTAAGTAAGCAAGAAATTTAATTCTACAATAACCTTTTATATTAAGTATAATTTCAATATATGGGCTCATAGGATTAGTACTTATTACTCTTTCCATGATAACAATGATTTCATATTTTCATCTATTCTTGAAATGATAATTGGATTATCGTCAACTGTTATTTTCAGATATCCTTGACAGATTTTATAAGGACTATATTTCTCAAGAAAATTTTTTCCTAGTAGAATAGGTGAACGGTCAACTCCATATAACTCATCTTTGTATAAAATTATTTCTTTAATATATTCTTTCTGATCCTTTCCTACAAGTATAAGAGGAAATTTAACATATTTTCTTATTTCAAGATTATTTCCCAAATAATCCTTAAATATATATGGTTCTGGTATTTCAAAGTCTATTAAATGATTAACAAACTTGGCATTTACATGGCTTTTATCTGCTCCAGTGTCTATGAGGACAAGAAGATTTTTCTTAAACCCTTCTTGATTTACATATCTTGTCTTAATGTAATATTGTGAACTTGATGGTTCAGCAATACTTAAATTCTTAAGTCTGCTTATCCTAGAGTCTTGTCTAGAGGGAAATCTTGCAATAAGATTATCTCCTTCTAAGCTGACACTATTTCTTCTTATTAATTTTCCTTCAGAATTAATTTCTTTTGCTTGTTTATGAAAATCAAACATTATTTGTTCTGGTATTGTTACTTCATGTTCTTGGTATTTTCTAGGAGGTATATATTGTGATAATTCCTTAAAATCTTTATGTA